TCGATCATACTGCTAAACTGAAATGAACATTATTAGTCGACACGCTATTGCAAGATCCTCTATGAGTTTGCCCTGATTTGGAAGCACCTAAGAATGATTGTGGCAGAAAATTTTAATATGAATAGTAATTTCTTCTCTTAATGTTGATTAGTTTCTTTCATGATACTACCTATTATTTAGCATCAGGTACTGCTGTCCTCTTCGCTACTCTTATTTTCAATNCACACACACACGCACACACACACCAACTTTTTTATACATTCAACTTGATTTCAGGGAAGAGCACGTTGGCATGTGCTCTAGGTCGTGGCTTACACGCTAGAGGAAAACTCACCTACATCCTTGATGGTGATAATGTTCGCCATGGTCTGAATCGTGATCTTAGTTTCATAGCAGAAGATCGAGCAGAAAATATAAGACGTATAGGTTGGCTTCTTTTTTGTCTTTGCTTTGCAAATATTTCCAGAAGCCCTCTCATTTATTCTCTTGGAAACCTAACATTTCCAAATGCTTATAAATAGGGGAGGTGGCAAAGCTTTTTGCGGATGCTGGAATTATTTGCATTGCCAGTTTGATATCTCCCTACAGGAAGGAGCGAGATGCCTGTCGCGCTTTGCTGGCAGAAGGGGATTTCATTGAGGTTTGTGATGGGAAATGGTTCTCAAAGGATTAGATTCTCCAGTGAGCTGCTGCTGTTTGGCACATATTATTAGCTGATTGAGTTGGATAACTTTTTTAGGTGTTCATGGATGTTCCTCTGCATGTATGTGAGGCAAGGGATCCTAAGGGATTGTACAAACTTGCTCGAGCGGGGAAAATAAAAGGTATTGTCTGTTATCTCGATCTCTCTTTTCTTTGTTTTTGTGAGTTAGCATTTTATATCAGAAAGCTTTATTTACAATCTTGATGGATGAGGGTGGTCAGTTGAAAGTCCGAGGTTATCAGCAGGGAAGTTCTGATGATCTTATTTACAATCTTGATGGATGAGGGTGGTCAGTTGAAAGTCCGAGGTTATCAGCAGGGAAGTTCTGATGATCTGCTTTCCTCAATATCAAGTTGCCTGGCTTGAACATTTTCGGCCCTGTTGCTGCAGGCAGAAGATACTCTTCTTTAGGGATGTTAAATGGGCAAGTTGGATCAAATTTCAATGAAGTCATGAGGCAATATGCCCAAAGCTAGTGTGTTAATTTACCCTAAACAATGGGTCATATTCAACTCGACCGACTCAATCATTTTATGGGTTTGTTTTTCTTATAATTTGTCTAATTACCAAGTCAAACTGCAATCAACTTTTCTTTATAGAGAGAAATGGGAAACCAAACCAACAATTTTTTTTTCTATTTTTTATCAAATTTTTGTGGGTCAATTTTGCTATCTAGATAGCCAATATAGACCAAACTTTTAGATGGGTTAAATACACCGCCCAACCTTGGACAAGTTGGTGAGCGACACTTGTATGCACTAAGTTTACACCCCTACCTCATCTTCTTCGTTTATCTCTTTCTGCTGGTTTTATTTTTTAGATTTTTATTTCACCTAAAACGTCACGTTATTTAGCATATTCACTTTGTACTTTGCAGGTTTTACCGGTATTGATGATCCATACGAGCCACCCCTAAAGTCTGAGGTAAGGTCAAGTCCGTTCGTCTTGCTTAACATGCTGTACATAAGGGGGTTGATTGTGCTCCTAGATTCTGCTGTCGCCTCGTTTCAGATTATCAGCATTTTTAAACTACAATATTTGACCTACTGTAACAAATTTAGGATGAGTCCGTATAAGCCATTGATATAATTTCAATCCTCCAATCTCTGAGTTGTGTTAGTCTCAACTCTCAACTATCTTTGGATATTCATTTGATTGCATCATGCTTGCTTAAAGAGGATATAATAGCAAATTACTTATCATCCTCCTCAAAGCTCATATTACTTACATGTGGTCTTGTAATTTTTCCGATGTGCAGATAGTTTTACATCAGAACCGAGGGTTATTTGATTCTCCTAATGATTTGGCTGATACAGTGATCTCATACTTGGATGAAAAAGGTTACCTGAAAGCGTAACTGCTCAAGCCTTATCTGCATACCTGCAATTTCAGTTTGTATCTAGGGGTGTTCATTGGCCGGTTTGGTATGGGTTTGAAAGATTCCGGCGGGGTGTTTCGGTTTTTGGTTTTCAAAATGTTATGACAACACCATACCCAAATAAGTTCGGTATGGTTTGGTTTTCTACATTTCGGTTTTGGTTTGTGCGGGTCGGTAATTTCGGTATTACTCTTCAAAGTTATATTTTACCAATCAAACTTGTGATTGTGATTCATGAAACTGATTTTGCAGTCTCAACCAGAAAAGAAAAGAAAGAGAGAACAAATTAAACCAAAACGTTAATAATTAGTCATTCTAAAAATGAGACTCTCGTTCGTTGCTTGAAAAAAAAAGTAGAGGAAAGCATCAGACATAATATTTTATTTTATTTTGGTTTCTCGCATGGTGTCCGGTACCCACACATAAGACATAATATTACTAAAAGTCAGATGTCATGAACTACCAAATTTAAAACGAATATTTTGTAGCCATTTAACAAATTAAATTGAGGGTAACAAGCTTCGCGTATCATGTTTAATACTAAGGAAATCATGCAATAACTAAATGATTAGAGCAAATTCTTTGATCAATATTAAGATACCCATGAACAGAAAATTCTTGGGTTTAAATTTAGGAGAGAGAGAGAGAGAGGGAGGGAAGTTAATCTGAGGTGGAGCAGTCAATGTTGGAAGTCTGGTTCAAGCTTAAGGGCATTAGAGTATTGCTATAAAATTCAAAATTTGAATATCCTAAGTGGATCAAGAAAATTTTCACTTCAAAATATATCTGAATTATTCATATATACGAAATTATTAACATTCTACTTAGCGTAAAAAATGAGATCGTATCATCACGAGAATTCCGAAAAAAAACAACATTTATGTAGCTATTCTTTTTATACTTAAAAATAGATTTGAGCTATTCAAATGTATGAAATTACTTTTATTATGTTTAGTGGTAAAATTAAAATTACTACGTGATGATAATTTTAAAAAAATTATGTTAAAATTTATGTGATACTTTTCGTTTTTCGAGATTCAAACTTTATAATACTCGAACACTCATGACTCACTTTTTTGCTCTTTTGAATGGTATATAGATATAAAAAATTTAATTTTTTTTGAAATAAAAGTCACATTTGGAAACTGCTTAAAAAGTATTATAAATTACAATAATTAATAATTTAAAATTTAAAGGCATATGAAAAAATTACGGTCAAAGAATAACTCATTGGACTCTCGAAAGAACACCGTCACAAAAATTGGGATGGAAGGAGTGCATAAATTTGTAAAAGTAAAGATGAGTGCAAGATGACTCGAACACCATTATTATAAACAAGTTCAAATAAAAAAAAAATACGAATCTCATTGTATAGAATTCAAACTGCTTATATTAAAGTTTAGGTTGAAGACACTAATTTACAAAGTCACTAGTTTAGATTTTAGCTTGTCTTTTATATTTGCCATTTTGTATATAACCATGTGCTTTAATATGGTATTCGGTATTTTGTTTTCTTTTTTTAAAGAAAAATCGTATACTGTATGAGCACCAAAATTTATAAAAGTTTATACCAAATATCATATCATAAACCGAAATACTGAAACTAAGCTATTTTTTTTAATTTCGGTTTGGTAATTTGATTTTTGCCAAATATGCATACCCTATCCATGTCCACCATTTTCTATTGTATTGGTGAAATAAAATCTCCTCATTAATTACGAAACTGCACATTTCCTTTGTGTATAAGTGGATTGTCATTTATGCAAACTGAGTTTATAATTTGGCTCCACTTGCCTACCAATTATGATTATTTTATTGTCATCAACGGGCCAGAAGTGGAATGAATAACGTTTGTCATTTGCATTCAATCGTTCTATTATGCCTTGCAATGTCAATGTGATTCAATTCTTCATTTCTTTTTAAAACTCTTCCCAAATTAGGAGAATTTATAATATTTTCATTCTCTCCTCCGGCGTGACTCAAACCCAAGACCTAACGATCCTGGGTGGATGTACTTTTACCAACTGAGCAAGCCTCACTTGTCTAATTCTGTTGTGTATGTTTTATTTGCCAATCACATAACATATCCGTTTTTGTTGCCAAAAAACAGAATATAGAAATAATTAATATTGCACTCACATAACATATTTTCCTGTCTTGTGATTGTATTACTTTTTCCTCTCCAACACATTTAATTGTAAAAATTAGTTGTCTCATTTTTTTCTCAATATGCCTTCAATTAATAGGTCCTCTAATGAATAGCAACAGACATCAATAACATCATTCTGGACGGCAGAAAGCTGGGAGATTATCAAAGCTATATATAAGTGTAACGCACTGCCAATTGTCTCACCATGGAAAAGTTTAAGTTCATAAATTAATAGTGCAAAAAATATTTACACGATTAGATCTTTTGTAAGGTAATTATTAAAAAATTAATTAGTAGCTTAATAAATACAGTAACTAATATATCATAACAGGTAAAATTAACTAATAATATAAAAATGTTACGCAATTAGAGAGCACCGATAATTAGAGAGCACGGAAATTAGTGCACAAAATTAAACTCCTTCCAAAATCACAGAAATAAAGTTGGGAAATTCTACAGTTTTATGACCAATAAAAACCAGACATCAGAAGCACACGCGTGGATTTCACTACAGACGACAGGTTCACGGACCATGCACTGTCCAATAATCATCAATCAATTTAAAATCTCATTGGTCGTGACTTTCACGCAACTTTTTCGCGAGTGTTCTTCTTTATAAAAACTTTATGATATCATATTGGTCCACGTATTCATCATACAGGAAAATATAGCTGCCAATTGCAGTGACTATTTCGTAATTCCATTTAATTTCAAGGGGCAAATGTTATATCAAATTTTGTATTCTTCTACTGCAATCATTTCATTCCCATATCAATTTTTGAACGCAGGTACGATAAACAGTAGCCAGGAGAAGAGTAAAGTTTCCTAAAGTCTCAATTCAAAACACACACAAAGGGAGAGAGAGAGAGATCGGTGTTTATAGTGAGATTATATTTGTATATTATCTCTCTCTCGTTTTCGCGTAATCCATGGGTCTGTGGGAAGCTTTTCTCAATTGGCTTCGAAGGTACGTTTTATGTTTCATATAAAGTGGAATGAATTAATGGATATATTGAGATTTATATAGTCGATTTCAACTAATTTGAGAGATTGAGTCTGTAGTTGATTGATTGAGTTGATTAATATTTTGCGAGCTCTAGGTTGTAAGTTTTGACCGTTGAAGAAATTCATATAGCCGCCCCGACTTGCTTGAGACCGAGACATATCTTCGTTTTGTTTATAATTGTGTATTTTGATTTTTTTGGTATGTTATCAGTTTAACGTCGATTATTTAGTGTTCTCCATGAGTTTTGGTCATATTTGGAATTTGAATGAGATGAGCTGTGGATTTTTTTTTCGGTTTTTGTTCCAGGATGAGCAAAATTTGCCATCAATCACATTTTAGGTTAATGAGTTTCTTTTTTGTTTGTTACATGATGAGCTGTAATTGTTAGTGAATTATATTTTAATGAGTCTTTGGTTTGCTGAGGTTCCGATGTGAGTTTTGTTCTTAAACTTTGGTAATAATGATCATTAACGGATATGCCTGTTGTGTCGTAGAAATTTCTAGCACTAACATCAAAGACATGCGATAGATGGACAAAGAGCTATTATATAGTGGAAAGAAAATTGGAATAGGAGATCAAGAAAAAGTCATTTATTTCTTTTCCCAACTGTGAGTGCATGAACAGGAGATTGGATTTTGTGGCTGAGATTTTAATTGTGTGCAAAAAGGATGGATTTTTCATCTCTTACCAATGAGCTTATCTTACCTTGGCGTTTTCTTCCACTTGTAAAGGAGTTACTGACGGTGCATTGGGTTTTCCGTAAGAGAGAAAAAAGAAGGATCTTAAAAAGGACTCTGCAAACTGCACATTCTTATTGTATTCAATCGTTGTTCACCCAAAAAAAGAACCTATAAATTTGTGATGTGGTTCAAAGTGCTGTTTAACCTTTCACTAGAAGTGAACTCCTCATCAATACCAGTGAATTGGTTGTAGTAGAATTCATTTGACTTATTGTCCTGGGATGTTCAAAAAAATTTAAGTTAAATTGCAACTTGCGAACATGTCTTCCGCACCCCAAAGATATCCTACGAGCTGGAAGTAGTGTTTCTACGCATTAGATGGTCTCATTCTTACTTTTTTTAATCAATCTCTCTGACAAAAACTTTATTCTTTTGGCATCATGTCGTCTTATTTTATATATGTTCCAGATTCGATAATATTAGCGTAATTCTTCACCATTGTTTGCAGATTTTTCTACTACGTTCTGGTTCTTGAATTTAGGCTTATCTTACTCAACGTGTGTGACTTCTTGAGGTTTGTTTCTGTAGACAGTTTGTTGCCTGGTCATCGAGACTGCCTTTTGTTAGAAACACAACGTGTAGTTAGTACAAGATGTTGTGTCACATGGCGGTATGGTTGGGGTACCTTTTTCTAGTCATAAAAAGGTCTAGATACTGAGAGATAGAAACAATTTGTCAAGAGAATTGTCAGTGGCCCTTTGTTCCTTCTGAACATTTCGGCAGTTGAGAGTTTTCTTTGAGTTCCACCATATGTTTGAAACTCTGAACGTCCAATCAAGCTCAAGAGGTTTGGGTTGAGAACCCCACCAGTGGACTAATTATTGCTTTTATTTTCGTTTATCCGTCTTTCCTCATTGCATAAATAGTTTACACAGTGTGCTGTGTACAGACCATTTACTTGCTATTGGTGTTTGTATAAATTTGTTTGTGTAGTTACTCCAATTTGAATATTCACTTTAGAGTTAGACAAAGGAAACTTACTGTTGTCTTGATTCTAAGCTGGACTAGTATTATAAAACTGTTGAAGTTTCTTTTTGCATTCACACTTGTGTAGCACCTGTATGAGTCCTTATAAACGTCTTCATTTTGCAGCCTCTTCTTTAAACAGGAAATGGAGCTTTCTTTGATAGGGCTGCAAAATGCAGGGAAAACTTCACTTGTAAATGTTATAGCTGTGAGTAGATGACTAACAACCTTTCTAGTGCCAGTATTTACATCTGTCGTTAACCTTTTATGTCCATATACGTGATGACTTACAAAATTTGCTCAACTTGTTTCATTCTAGACTGGTGGATATAGTGAAGATATGATACCAACGGTAAGTTCTTTGATAATAATATGAGAATTACTGTGATACCACTTTCAATGTTACTAGGTTCTTTGATAATAATATGAGAATTACTGGATATTCAGGTGGGATTTAACATGCGGAAAGTGACTAAAGGTAATGTCACTATAAAATTGTGGGACCTTGGAGGTCAACCCAGATTCCGTAGTATGTGGGAAAGATACTGTCGTGCAGTTTCAGCTATAGTGTATGCATCTATTCTCTTGCTTATTCAGTCTCTTTAAGTTGAAGCTGCTTTACTTACCTCACTGAACTTCTGCACTTAGAAGTAAATGAATTCACTTATATTCCAGATTTCTTTTATCAGCTATTCACTTCACCTTGTCTACTTGAGTGCTTTATTCTTATGTATGGTATCATAATACTCTTGTAAGTCATAGGATGGTAGGAGACAGCACATAGCAGATTGGAGTCTTTTTGGTCTTGGGTTGAATTTAGTTTTATCCAACCATCATTTCTTTAGGAAAAGCTGTAGATCAGGTTATCGGGCTTTATGGATCTATTTTTACACAGCTTGGGTCGGTAGAATTCCTTGTTTTCAACCATTTCTTAATTCTAAAGGAACAATGCCTAATCATGGACTTCAGGAGGGGTTTTGCCAAAAATTTCAAGGATTTGAAACACTTCTAAAGATGCAACTTATAGGCTTGAGTATTTTTTTTCCCAACTATTAGGCTTTAGTATTATGTTTGTGACTTCTTTACTTTCCTTCTCTGCAGTTATGTTGTTGATGCTGCTGATCATGATAACCTTAGCATTTCCAAAAGTGAACTCCATGACCTGTTGAACAAACCATCATTGAGTGGTATTCCACTGCTGGTATTAGGGAACAAGATTGACAAGCCTGGAGCCCTGTCGAAGCAGGCTTTGACTGATGAAATGTAAGCAGAGAAAATTTTATGAGTATGCTTGGTCTTAGTTTTGCATTTGGGTTAATTCGAGTAATGTTTGGGAAATTTACCTACCAAGTACATATCTCTCCCCTGAGAATGGTAAAATTGGAAATGAAGTAATCAAATAAAACGAAAGGCTTACATATTCTTTTTTAATCGATGGACTCTTTTTAAGAACAATTGGCATTTGTGCAGGGGACTGAAATCTATAACTGACAGAGAAGTATGCTGCTATATGATCTCATGCAAAAATTCCACCAATATTGACTCAGTCATCGATTGGCTTGTTAAGCACTCAAAATCAAAGAGTTAAAAGATGACACCCTTTCTTCTGCTACTGAATTTGTATGTTAAATTTGTGAGGCTGTTAAATTGTATTGTAAATTATCTATAGATTGAAAGAGCTGCTCATGTGCTATTCTTTGGGATTGTCTTGCTCAGCCGCCAATTTTTACCCCTTTTCTCGTATCGAGCTTGGCTGCCAGATCATTTCTATTCAGAGTAAATTTCATAAACGCTTCTTACTTTGTAGTAAGATTGACGGTGTAACATAGGTTGTAGGATAATCGAACTGGTCTATCAAAAGATTTAATGTAAAATTCAAGATAGAGCTGGAATTGGACCAGTACAATACTACTTTTGATCAAATGGTTAATGGTCCTTGTGCAGTACTAACTGCATGCGCCTCACAACTGAAAGAATGTTGTGCCCTACAATTTGTGGATGAGCATATGCCAATTGAAGTGAGGTTGCTGCTATTAACAACCCATGCACCTACCATCCCAAATGAATACCGAATTCTTAGCAGATGCAATGGATCAATATATGAATTTCCCAGTAATATCGACGTGCAGCCTGAAACCACAATCAAAACAATTATTTTCTGAATCATAGGTTCATCAAGATTTTTTGTGGATCAACGGCAATTCAACCAGCTCTGTTATACAACCACTTCGCACCAAAGACAAAATATTTAAAACAAAAAAGGTTAGCGGCTTTTTGAGGATATACATTTTGCATGTCAGCCAACCACCAAAAAAAGGATTTCTATACTCCTTTTGCCTATAAACTTCACTATGACCTCAATGCCATAATTAAGATCACTAGCAATGGACAAAAATAACCACATTTACAACTCTATCCACATATCAACAATAAATTGCCAATTGTACTGAAGATGAAAACCCAAGTGGTGGATCCAGCTAATGTCATCTGCATAAACAAGGAACGGCTTTATAAGTAAATGATACCCTAAAGGCAACTTAATTAAGGTCTTACTGTACATCAATAAATCTTAAATCAATTTCACAGCAACCATTAGTTGTGATACAACATATTGAGAAACTTTTTGGTAAAGAAATATAAGTTGCCCCTTGTAGTTGTCCGAAAAAGTCAGTTATATACTTCACCTTTACGGGCGACCTAATACACACTTATTCTTGTAGAATTAATACCACTCTAAAAGCTGATGTGACAAAATAAATAAAAAAAATTAAAAAAAAAAAGAGGCGAGTGTAAGTCAAAATTCAAGGTTAAAATAAAAAAGAAACAAGAAAAAGAAAGTGTCTTCCCCTACCCCCCATCGTTCTCTCTCTTCAACTACCCCTCTTCTCCTTGTCACTCCAAACCCAAAAGCTCCTAATCTCCATCTTCTAATTCCGTTAATACTTCTTTAGAGATAAACCCAAATATCAAAACCAAAATATTTTCGAAAAAAAGGGCTTCAATTCATATTTTTTATCTTAATTATCTAACCCAATTTCCCTTTCACCGATTCGAACTCTCGAAGGACCAACAATGGAGGTTTCAAAATTTTTTACCTCCAATCTTCTCCAATCATTAGTTAAATTGATTTTGAACTCCAATTAGTAAACACATATGTGATAAGCACAAAATGATAAGTTGGAATCAATTTTCAACGGTGGATATTCCACAGAGACTTGGTGGTATGGCAGGCATAGTGGTGTGGTGGTGTGTGGCGAATTTGGTGGATTGATGTGGTTACGATTATTGGTGGATGAAGATGCGGGTTTAATGATAGTGCGGTGGCAACGGTGGTGGTGCTATGGCGGTTTGGTGGTGGGTTGTGAAGAAAAAACAATGTGATGACATGGAAAACAATATTTTTTAAAATCTGACATTATACTGATATGGCAGTGACATAGCAATGACATGGAGCGAGTGTAGAACACCTTTCATTATGCAACTGGGTATATCAGTTCCAGGCTGGTATTAGTTCCACAAAAAATAAGAATAGGGGGGTATTAGATCACTCGTAAAAGGTTAAGTAAATAACTGACTTTTTCAAACAACTACATGGGGCAACTTATGTATTTTCCCAAACTTTTTGCATAACGACGGCATATTGAGAAACTTCAAAAGCACATAAAAAAAGGGCAACATTCAGAAACTACAGAAGTGAACACAACAACAATTCGCTACCTTGTATTAACAAGATAGCAGTATGGCTGATAGCATTCCATCCTCCAAATTAAGCAAATGTGATCGACTCTTAACATGATGACGCGCGCTAGTAGCTCCTAGAGCAGCATACCAGATACCAAAATTCTATATTGAAAACTTAAACAACAACATACTCAGTGTGATCCCACAAGTGGGGTCTGGGAGGGCGAGTGCATGCAGACCTTAACCCTACCTTGTGTGGTAGATCTATATTGAAAGCTTACAACAACTTAATGAAATTGCCTATCCACTATGCAATCGGGACCAATACTACATATTGAATCAAGAGTCAATGTATAATGTGAGTACGTAAAAATCTGGCCTTCATGCAAGTTTGTGGAAACCTGTGTGCTAATGCACAACAAAAAGCATCTCAAGTTTTCAGCAGTCCCATACAACAAAATAGACATCTAATACTTGCAAAACCCCTAGTTTAGTAAATACGTGCAGCATTTTGAACCCAAAATTTTGCAAAATTGAACATTTTTATTAATGTTCAATATGTTATCAAGCTTGCTTTTTAGTATTTCTGACAATTAATTAACTTTCTCTCTGTGATATTTTAACACTTAGAAAATCAAACTGCATATCATCACTTAACAGTACAAACTTTTAGATAATTAATAGCTCATGGCTCATTATGGTGCTACAGAGAGTCTCAACAACCACAGTAAGCTGCCTCTCGAAAGATTAGCTTACCAGACAGGGATAGTTTGATGCTGCAATGCCTTCAATGTAACTTCATGAAAACACTGTGCTGCCTCTGCCTCTGCTTCAGCCGCCTCTGCAATCCTTGCCGCCCGTTCCGCCTCAGCAATGGCAGCTTCAGCGTCTGCAACTGCTTGTGCAGCAGCTGCAGCAGCCTCCTCTGCAGTCATGCTCTTCATCTGCTCTAACTCCACATCAATTTGTGCTTTAGTCCGTATTCTAATTTCATTCTTTTCTATCATAGTGGAATCCTCCTTTCCATCCATAAGAAAAGAGAGATGGCCTCCCTTGGTACCAGATGATAATCTACTCGGCGCAATCCTGTATTGATGCCTTACCTATCAATGTGGATGGAGGCGTCAAGAACCAAGATTAAGAAACAGACTAGTAAATCCATAATTGGGCTTTCTACTCACAGTATTTGCCAATTCCTCTACAAGAAAGAAGATAAAAGAACTGAAAGAAAGTAATGTTAAGTTCACACATTAAATGTTTGCAATTGCAAATCAAGCGACGAATTTTACTCCGCAACCAACAATGTGTGCTTCCAAGCATATGACTTTTTGAGCATTGTTGATAAAACTCTAACCAAAGTAGCCAAGACCTCAGTGTCAGTCTTGGAACTCAAGAAGACTCGTTATGATTCAGGAGAGGATGCATAACTGAATGAGAATAGCACGACAAACCAAAAAGAATAAATCCAGGCATTTTATTATCTCGTTGCCTTACCCCTTCCTAGCTTAGGCATGATGTGATACTAAAATGAAGCTTATGTCTGAATAGAAGCATGATCTTCCAAGTCTTGAAATGATAAAACATGGCTTCCTTCACTAAAATTGATCCTTACCAATCTTCTTCATGATGCCATCAACGGACACAACCACCTTTCTGTTACTAGTTCTTTTTTTTTTGGATAACCAAGAAATTTCCGAGGGCCAGTGGCGTCGGTTCAAAACTCGATGGATAATGGGCTCGCCTCTCTACCTTTTCCACTTAAATACAAAGCTTTTGTCCGCAGAGCGTTCGATCCCGTGATGTGTGCGTACCCCACACATCATTTGTCGCGCTTTTAGCACTAGAGCAAAGCCCTAAGGGCCCTTTTAGTTAAATATTTTGTAGTGCGATGAAACTTACATCTTTTGTGGGCATGATAATCTCATCAGCCAACTTCCATCCCACAGCAACAGGAAAAAAGAACCAAATAATGATAAAGAAAAGAACTACAACAAGGACAATTCAACATACAACGCAGATTCTCCTCAGTTACCAGCCATGCACTGATGTTAATGCTATAATAATGGGGAACAGGCATTACATGTCTTCTACATGCAGTATATGCATCTCCATTGAACATAAAGAAGGGTAAGAGAGATTCTTCATCATTTCCACCAGTTTCTCAGGTCGATTACCTTAATCAGTCTTCCTTTATCAGTCAACGCCTTCAAATTTGCTGCCAACAGTCTTTCAAAGTTTGGAGGTGCCGTGTACCACTCCTTCAAACAAACAAAAATTGTTGAGTAATAGGCATCTAAAGTAATGAAAATAATATACCAGCATTTACAAGGTCCATACACTTGTATCATCAAGTTAAACAGAGAGTAAAAAAATAAGGATAGAGTGAACCTTTTTGTCGGGAATTATAGTATAAAGAAATTTTGCCCAAGTGAGCAACTTCACTCTTCATAAGCAAATCCCATCTTAACCTCTCAGAAATAAGCATGCTCACTTACATCAGTCTATGTCGAAAACAAAAGATATCCAGTGTATGATGGACAACCTGATTAGAATTGAAAAAGTGGGAAAGGAAAATTACCACTACCCACCCCCAAAGCAACCCTTTGGCCATCCCACTGACCATGTTGGGCTGGGTTGCATAACCTTTCCTGCACTTCTTTCCAGTTTCCACCTTTTTTTGCTTCTGCTTGGGTACTTCTTAGTTCTTATCCCTCTCTCTAGTAGTTCTCAGAGTGCTCAAGTTTGCGGGATGAAGCATCAAAAGGCATTGCCAACTAGTGAAAAGCGAAGTTAAGAAAATATTCCAGCATAAATATCAGCTACCAAGATACAAACAGCACAGGCATGTTTAACCTCTAGCAAGTCTTGACACCTTTCCTGCACTTCTATCCAGTTTCCACCCTTTTTTTCTTCTGCTTGGGTCCTTCTTAGTTCTTATCCCTCCCTAGTAGTTCTCAGAGTGCTCAAGTTTGCGGGATGAAGCATCAAAGGGCATTGCCAACTAGTGAAAAGCTAAGTTAAGAAAAATTTCCAGCATAAAATCAGCAACTAAGATACAGACAGTACTCAATCAAGCAATCCTGTTTGACACTGGAGTGCCAAGGGAAAGAGTCTCGCTAATAAAAAGGAGAAAGGCAATTCATATTTGTCCTTTTTGTTTTCTTGCTAGATCAAGAAAAAGTTTCAAAGTGTTTATCTCCTTGGCTCATAATGTCTCGACATCTTTTTAGCTCCTTGAAAATAACATAGAACAAACATCGGCGAACAATGGGGTTGAACCAGCGCATGGTGGATCCACAATCTACTGCCTTGATCCATGGCTACGTCCGCCCCTACCCTACCCTGCATAGGTTGAAGTTTCTTTCTATGATCAAATCCTTTTTGACTCCCCTATGACCTTATCAAAGAGAAACTTTTTCCTATACTATACTAGCAAGTCTATTGTTGTGTTAGGAAGGGTGTTTCTTCTCATGTTTTTGTGTTCGAGGAGGATTTTGGTTTAAAGAGAAAGAAAATTGTCTTAGAAATGCTTAGCTAGGCAGAAAGTGTATACACGTAGCTAAGAGCCACTTGGCTACATCCGCCCTTAACCCCGCACAGGTTGAAGTCTCTATCTATGATCAAATCCTTTCTGTACTCCCCTATCACCGCTTATCAAAGAGAAGCTTTTTCCTATACTATAGTGGCAAGAATAACGTTGTGTTAGGAAGGGTCTTTCTTCCCACGCTTGTGTTCGANATAGCTAAGAGCCACTTGGCTACATCCGCCCTTAACCTCGCACGGGTTGAAGTCTCTATCTATGATCAGACCCTTTCTGAACTCCCCTATCACCATTTATCAAAGACTAACATTGTGTTAGGATTTAGGAAGGGTCTTTCTTCTCACGCTTGTGTTCGAGGAGGATTTTCGTTAATGCTTAACTGGGCAGAAGCTTTTTCCTATACTATACTGACAAGTCTATTGTTGTGTTAGGAAGGGTGTTTCTTCTCATGTTTTTGTGTTCGAGGGGGATTTTGGTTTGAAGAGAAAGAAAATTGTCTTAGAAATGCTTAGCTAGGCAGAAAGCGTACACAGATAGCTAAGAGCCACTTGGCTACATCCGCCCTTAACCTCGCACGGGTTGAAGTCTCTATCTATGATCAGACCCTTTCTGAACTCCCCTATCACCATTTATCAAAGACTAACGTTGTGTTAGGATTTAGGAAGGGTCTTTTTTCTCACGCTTGTGTTCGAGGAGGATTTTCGTTAATGCTTAACTGGGCAGAACTTAAAAGTGAAAAAAAATGACAAATTAGATTAAGTTAAAAGGCGATGGTTCTGGGGTCTAACTCAACTCCAAAACTAATGAGGTAAGGATTGTCTAAAACCATATAAGGAGATAACAACTCATTTCCTCGCAACAATTTAAGATACTCTAACAACTCCCTCCCCCTTCCCGCTTCTCGAGTACGTCTAGGACAGGATATTTGGAGTGTGGACAACATAACATGGATGGCCCAAGGCCTAATTCAACCACAAAAACTAACTCATGAGTCATGACGTGAGAATTGTCCAAAACCATATAAGGAGACAACAACCTGCTCCTCCATCAATGTGGGACATTTTAACAAAACAATAACTAAACAAAATATACTAAATCTCCAAAATTTTCCAACTCTCTTTACTCACATAGACTTATATCAAATATGCTAAAAAAGAAGGAAAATTACCTCTATGTAAGACAAAATTGCATTTCGACGAGATCCATGTGGTTCCTTCAATTTGGCTATTGCCTCCAATATAAGATCGTCCAATCTATAATCAATGAAGAAGCACACACAAGTTTGGTACATTATAATATTATAAAAGGCAACTCCCAAAGTGAGTATTTCTGAGAAGGGAAAAAGAAAGAGGCAATTATTAGAACTAGATTACATGAATTCCGAACTTGTTATTTCAGTTTTAAAATTTTGACCAAAAGATATAAAATCAATCTATTATTAAAAAGCTATGCTTCATAGTAGGTGACAGCATCTAATCAAGGACTTAATTTGCTTTTCAAAGAATAAAGAGAATACGAAAAAAGAAAAACAAATTAGTGGAAGAGGATAATCAGTTTTACCCACATTTGCACTGTAACACAAAAACGAGAAAAATGAGCCATGTATCTATGTTACAATAAAACAACATTATTTTACATGAAGAATTACTCCAACAATTTCATATGAAACTCCCAAAAAACAAATCAACCAATCAATCAACTACGCCTCAATCCCAAATTAGGTGGAGTCTATACTATATGAATCATCTACCCATTGCACTCTATTCAAGTCATATTCAGAAGATTTCACTATAGCTATCTATTTTTTGTATTGGTTGTTAACCTACCGCAACCATCCTTTATCCAAGCTTGAACGCAGTTATGCTATGCTTACATAAACAGAGTTCGCAACCATCAACGGACAAACGAAAAATAGAGCATCATAACATAAACTGAAACTTCAGGCTTTCTCAAGAAAAATATAAACTGGACTTCAGGCTCTAAGCTACAGTAACAGCATATACTTCCGCTTGAAGCACGATCCCTTTTTCTCAGTTTTGCAAGATTTCCCCCTAGAAAGGGGAACCCACATTTGATTCCAGAGGAAACAAGGAAAGTGATGAATAGAAGGCAGCTGCTACGCATTTTGCCCAAGATACCACTATAAAATATGAACAGAGAGCTCCCATTATCAATAATCAGAAAATACCAAGTTGCTTACAAAACCTTTCCATAACAGAACCAGCTGACTTCCAGAACTATATTGTTTCCATATTAAATTCCTTATTTAAAGGTACTTAGGACACTATTATAATAGATACTCACTTACAGATGTGCTTTTGATGAACAATATTATTAATTATTAAATGCATGAAAGTTGAGTCTCAAAATGTGCTTTGATTGTTTATTTCTAAAAGGTTTGAGTGCTTCAACGTCTCAAATATTTTGGTTAGATATCTTATGGAGTACACTAATTTCTTAGAAAGTGATTTCAGAATCGAAGAAGCCAACAAATGAATTTTCTCCACCAAGCTCTCCAAAAGCACAAGCTTTACGACTTGTGTGGAATCCAAGATTTGAATAAGGAAGATTTAAGTGAATCGGTAGTATAATTACCTACAAATCGTCTTTTCACAACCAACATCCTCCAGTGCATCACCAGACGATGCAAGAGGTTTAGGATCAAGAACTTCTGTATCATTCTCAACCGCGGTGCTAACAAGCAAGGAGTTGTCATCATGCTTCTGCTTAGGCTGGACACTTTTAGAGACAACCCTCCCTTGATGCCGAGACACTTGATGCCGAGACCCCAAACCATTTGCCATGACATGTAGATTTCTCCATTTATCCTGCCCAAGCAAAACTAAGCCCATCAAGGCAACTTTTACTAACCAAAACAAGCGGAAAAAAGAAAGAAAGAAAGAAAGAAAGGAAAAAAAAAAAAAAGCACAACCAGACAGAAGAGACATTCATTGTTACTATGTGAATATCAGACATACTCCAGCCGGCTAAATAAGCTTCCCACAGAATGACAAGACAAGATTTGACAACGTTGTTATGCCTGGTACCTTCAGATCCACATTTGAGCGAGAGCGCAACACAGTAGCAAACTCTGGATCTTTGAGTATGGTGCTCCATTTTCCAACCCCATACTTTGCTACACCAGCTTTAAGGGCAGCTTCTTCTTCTGATGTCCACTTCTGCTTTGGTGCACCCATCAATAGGTCCACCACTTCCTGACTCTGAATACAAAAGTTGAGCTCTCCTATCTAGAGAAGCATCTACTCTATTCAGAAAATTGAAAAGCTGAGTTGTGAAAAAAAAAAAGTACTCCAATAAGGATGCATAAATTATTCAAAATATCTTTAAGGCCAAAACCTACGCAAGGAATCTAGAAATAGGACGTATTTGTTCTTCTACCTTACTTTTTAAAAAATACTGGGTACTTATATAAAAAGACAACCAGTATAATACTTGAATATGCACAGAAATTATAATTAAAAAATATTAAAATGTTTGTTCTCACGATTAGGGCTAGAACGACAACATCAAAAAAAGGAATCAAAGTTTCTAGAGACATAAAATTCTGAAACGTATCGTACCGGGAGAAAGGGCCAGCGCGGAGTTTGTGACGGTGACGGAAATAACTCGCCGGCGAACGGAAGTTACACCATTGAAATCAAGGTGAACTGTTGAAGTTGAAACCCTAGAGATTGAAAATGAATTTGAAACCCTAACAAAAGTTATTTCAAGCGTAAATTCCGATTAACCCCTTCTCTTTTGGGTTTAGAAAATAACACCGTCAAGAATAAATTACATGTATTTTCAAAATATTAAAAAGAACCTTCAATTATTTTATGGTTTACTCAAAAATGAAAATAATAACTAATAGTACCCAATAATATTGTATAGAATGAGTAGATTTCATTTAATTCCCTGAATATTTGAGGTAAAAAAGTAATGTATCATTCATCTTTTGCATGAAAAAATGTTTAAGTTACATTTTAAATATCATATCACCTATAAACTATATAATTATTCGAAATTGTTATTTTTATGATATCACCTATAAATTGTATTACCGTTTGAAATTGTTATTTTTATTTTCAAAATAATTACCAATGAAATATTTTTAAGAATAATTAGACTAGTGGTGGCAAAATGGTTAAAAGAAAATAGTTAACCACTCATATTATCCACTAAAAATGGGTTGGATAATGAACTTTTTAAAAACGGATCAAATATGAATAAGAACCATACTATCCATTTAGAAAATGGATAACCAAGGAGTTTAACTTTTACATTTATAAAGCCTCAAATTTGGAGTTCCTCAAGTTTGGGAGACTAGAATTCTCTCAAAAGTGATCATATTCAAGAAGTCGTGGATAATATGATTACCCATTATCCGTCGGTTAACCCGTTTTTTATTCATATTAAATATGGGTCGGGTCAAATAAATTATCTATTTTTCTATTACCCGATTCGACCCGAACCATATCCGACCCGACCCGACCCGTCTGTTTGCCACTCCTAAATTAGACCTTTAAATATGTAAGAGTTACGTGAAAATAGAATAACATCCTGCATTCTCTCATGGTGCGATAAAGGACCGCACCCAAAAGAGTAATAACTTTATACAAAACTAACTAGTTGAAACAAATTTCAATACTAGCACAAGATGGACCTAAGATATTTAAAATTTGAAGCTCTAACAAAAGAATATTGCATGAAGCAGAATGAGTTTTAAAAAACTAAAAGAAAAACTACCGGTGAAAAACGAGAGGTATGAAATTTTAATTCTATAGAATATCATTGCTTAAAGTTTTCAATTACTGAAAAGAGAACATGTTATAGTTCATACTAATTGAGGTTTATTTTGATATTTAGAAATACTTCTGACGGTGCAACTCATTTTTATTTGTCGCTATTAAGAATTGCTCCATGGATCTTATCGGATAGGTTTGATGTTTTTTGGGACTTCTTTAGCGACCATGAAGTCACAAGATGAATTGCTGAGTAAATAGATCAGATCCGGGCGTGACTGTTGCTCCGCGATGATACGGACTCGACCCCCTCCTACCCACTTCGGGGCACCATAGCAGGTCGGCAGATCAAGGGAGTTTATTTTCCCTTTCAAAAGGTTAAAGGAATATTATCTCTAGCACTCAAAGGGTCAAGGGACTTAAGTGAAATTCACTAATAAAATTTTACATACAATAATACAAAATGTTTGGTTATCAATATTAAAAAATAATCTTCGCATGACTTATGTACTAATACCTACTTAAGTTATGCAATAATTTTGTATATCATCTTATATATGATAGCATAAAAAATAAAAGTGTGTGTCTTATCAATACATGATTAGAGTTATTGTAGACAAAAACATTTCTTAAAAATACGATAAATTATTTGTAAAGCCCCGTAAATTCTACTAATTTTGAGCTTGAGAATGCAATGTAATTAAATCTGAGCTACATGATTATTCAAGTGGAACAAAATTATTGGAATGCTTAGGGATAATGTCGATAGTTAATCATTGAATTAGTGGAGGTTACAAGGTCATTAAATGTATTTGGAGTATATCAAGCTTCTATGACATAAGTGCTGAAATTTTGAGAATTCAATGTTATGTAACCAACTTGAAGAGTTGGAATTTAATAAGAAAACAAGGATTTGAAATCCTAGCCTTCAATTGGAAACGAGAAAGGATTTAGAAAACTAGAAAAGTTGTTGGTCAACAAAGAGACAAATGGGGGACAAGGAAATTAATTAAATAGCAAAGATAAGGGAATAATGGGAGTAATTATGAAAGAAAAAGAGTAAGCATATTAAGTGAAAAAATGAAATGATTAAAGTTGAAGACCAAAATGTTGCTTCAGTGATGGAATAAATTGAAATCCAGCGTGAGACAGTGAAGTGCGGCGAAGGCGTGCAACTCAACACTCGAAATTTAAAACCCACAGCTAAAGTTTTTTATAGGCATTTCGTAGAGAGAAAAATTATATTATTTTGGACTTGGTCTTAGGGATTAGAGAGAAGGAGGAGCTCTTTACCATTAATAAATCTTCAAGGTAAGAATTAAATGTCTTTCTTTGATTAGATTTGGTTATTTATTACATCTCTTAACCCTCCAACATCCTGGATTCATAGATTTTTTAAGATAATCTCAAGGACATTTCAAGAAACTCAAATCTTGAAACTTTTAAGGTTTGACAAAGAGGTAATTTATTCACTCCAATATTATGTACTATACTCTATGGATGTAGTAGAGTATATTTATGAAGTTAGATTTGTATTTAAACATCTATTCATAAAATCCTAGAAGCTAGTCTTGAAATTGAAGAGTTGGTTAGTAAAGATAATGAATAGTGTTGGGTCTTGTTTGAACGATGTTATTTTGAGATTCTAGTGGAACAATTAGATCTCATAACAAGTTTAATGAATGACTTGGAGTTAAAATTCAAGGATTGACCTTCAAATGATGAAATAAGAATTTTTGTTAAACTTATGAAATTGGACTTAAGTGTTAGACACTTAGTTGGTTTATTTGGTATCGTTGTGATGCGTTCTTGAATTATGTGAGTTCGTATATGTAGATTGTGACTCGTTGGCATTATTAGATCATTTGGGGGTAAGGTTGGAAGCAATTTGAGGTACGTTGAAACTTACTACCCTCGGAATTTTTCTCCATACTCATATCGAAACACGATTAAATTGAGTTTTTAAATGTCAGTCCTAGCTTGTGGGGACGAGCGAGTTGGGATTGTACCATTCTTGCATCATAAAAGATTTAAGTGCTATGAATATTTTTTTCCTAAAATGTTTTATCTTAATTTTTTTAAAAATAAATAAATAGAGAATAACACTTGTAGTATTTTTTGAAATGAAAATACATGAGTTGTGAAATATCTTGGATTTAACTATTCTCAAATAGTTGATTTGGATATAAATATCATCATTGATAAATGTAAAGGTTTTGGGAGTTACTTAAATTCACCGAGAATGACCTTGGATACTTTTCCTCATTTGGTCATGAAACTACACGGGCCGGTGTACGTGTAGAACCTACCTTACGGTTGGGAACTACGATAGAGTACTTCCCATTAGCGGTACTATTGTGCCACTTTATTAGCATGGTTGAGTCGATTTGTGCGGCACAACGATGAGAAGACCTGAGCAAGTAGGGTATATGCTACTTGCCGCTAGGTACCTAACCTAGTTAACCTTCTTTCATGTTGGTGATGGTATAGTGCTCCCGGTAAATGAAAAATCTAACATGATTTTGCAAAGATCGATGCTAATGGAAGATTTTGAAATATGTTTTACCATATTATTTTATTTTACTTTCTAAATTGTTAATTGATATGAAGGCTTCTTTCTCGATATCAATTGTTATTGCGTAACTTTTATCTTCTTAAATCTTGTCCTATTTTCTTTTGGGGAACGATTCATGATTCGTACTAGGCATATAGAGCTTAGGCCCTTCGGACATATTTCCATTTCTATTTTCAGGGACTGGACCTGAGCAGCTTGGGCCGCGTGGATAGGGCAGCTCTACATTTCCCGTTGACGTTATTTGGTGAGACTCCACGCTAGTATTCGTGGAGGACTTTATTATATTACTATCCTTTTGAGCCACCAGGTTATGCCTTGGTTGACTATTACATTCTGTGTCATAGAGATTCCATGGACAATAGTAGTATTCATTTTGGGTTGTAATCCTATGGTTACTTACATGGCGTGCATGAATGAAACTTTCTTTTATCTTTATGAAGATTGGCTTCAAAGGAAAAATATTTACTTAAAGACATTAATCATGTTTTGTCGTATAAAATGATTGTAATTGAAGAGGCTTTAACATCCTCTTATTAGGTATATAGATGTGTATTAATCTATGGGATGGTTCACTCGGGTCTGGTAGAGTACCGGGTACCAGTCACATAGTTTTAGGGCGTGGCAAACTTGGTATCAGAGCTCTAAGTTCTAATTCGAGTCCTAGGAAGTCTATGAAATCGTGCCTGGTAGAGTTCTCTTTATTAGTGTGTTGTGCACCACACTTATATCGAGAAGGCTATATGGACATTATAAGAATACTTCACTCTTTCTTCTTATTCTAGAATCGTGCAATAGAACTAATAAATATTTCCTAACTCATGCGCTATATCAATTGGCAGAAGATGGTGAACACGCGTGGTAGTAATATGAATCAGGAAGCTTCTCCTATACCTGATGCGGCTTCGGGATGGGTACCCGCTAGACCTAGGGGCCGACCTCCGAAGGCTGCAAGAGCACGGACTGTGCCAGTTCGAATGGCTCCAAGGATGGTCCAGGAGCTCGAGGAAGAAGTTGACGAGGCACTTGCTCTACCTCCAAAACCAAATCACTTGGGAAAGACCCTCATTGATATTAGAAAGGCTATGGATACTTTTGCTGACCTTATGGCTATGTATGTTACATCTCGCATTTTCGTACGTTAAAGTTTCATCTTCAGTTAATTGACGTAGACTCGAGGGTGTGATTTTCTTGAGATTATAAAGCATAAGCATGTATGCTATTTATAACAAGCAATAAGTAAGTGTCGTGAAAGAAAAAGGGTAAACGAATCAAAGAAAATGAGTTTTGTTGAAGGTTGTTGATTTGGGATAAAATACGGTACGAGCCATAATATATAGTATTTATGGACTAGTGCCATACAAGGTACTACATGGCCATGATAGTAAGGTGTACAAGGTATGTTAAAAGTAAGTAGTATTTTAAGTGAGTTGAGATAATTCTTAAT